GGAAAGAGAATTACATGGTGGTCAACAACAACAAAAAAATGGTTATTTCACTGTAAATATGTGTTTTTATTTGTTAGATTGTATTATCTCATAATAAAATGTGGAATTCTGTGATGATGCAAAAGAGTTGGCTGTGCTGCCCCCTGGTTATATGTGTCTATTTTTTATTTCTATCTGCAAAGTTGTAGAATGCCTTTTCTGGTTCCACACTTGAAACTTATGCTTCTTATAAAAAAGAAAACTATGAGCGAGTTATACCAAAAAATTTGGGTGAAGCCTATTGATAGATTTTTTTTTTGCTGAATATTGTGGGCAAAGAAGCCTATTGATATATTTTCATACATCGTAGTGTTATTACTAAAATTTAATGGTTCATTATTGGTAATTTTGTTAATTACTTGATTAATCTAGGTATGTTGATCTAAAAGCATGCATCTCTGAATTGCCTAAAAACGGATATGGAGCAAATCTTCCTGAATGGCCTGCACGTTTGCAAGCCCCACCAGATAGGCTTCAGAGCATAAAGCTAGATGCTTTCTCATCCAGAAATGAGCTTTTTAGGGCAGAATCTAAATACTGGAATGACATAATAGCAACCTATGTTCGTGCTTTACGCTGGAAGAAAATGAGATTAAGAAATGTTATGGACATGCGAGCAGGTTTTGGAGGGTATTGTTTATGTCTTATATACTTTCTTGTATAAATTTGCATTTGGCACTTTTCGATAGACAATCTTAATTTATTCAGTGTTTTACAGATTTGCAGCAGCATTGATCGATCACAATCTTGACTGCTGGGTTATGAATGTCGTTCCTGTTAGTGGTCCAAACACCTTGCCTGTTATTTATGACCGTGGATTGATTGGAGTTATGCATGACTGGTATTTCACTAAGCTTATTTAAGATATATTAGATACAAGTGTTCTCAGTTTTGTGCTGTGGTTTCTTAATTCCACATACTGAACAATTTCCCTTTGTCCAAATCCTCTAAATTATTGTCAACTTGTCAGCACGCTGTAACATCTTCATGATTTATAATTTAGGTGTGAGGCATTTGACACCTACCCAAGAACCTATGATTTACTGCATGCAGCAAACCTACTTTCCGTTGAGAGGAAAAGGTATTTTCTCCATCTACTTACCAGCAATTTATCTGTCTTGCCAATTATTATTGTCTTTGTGCCAATAAAAAGAATAATGAGTATTTTTCTGTATTGCATTGTGGTTTGGATATTAGTCTTTCACGTCTCTCAAGTAAGTGATCTGTTTATGGATATCCGATCATCTATTATCCTTTTTAGCCTTATATACTACAAATAAGCATATATTAATGTTATTAAATTTTAAGGCTGTAATTAAACAAGCATATATACTATATCTCAAACTATTCATGCATCCTGAAACAACTCGAATTTGCAATTTCATATTTCATCGTTCATTCACAGCATGTATTGCAAATAAGAAACATGTTGTATGATGTCTATTTTTTACTTACTATCTGTTGCATTCCTCTCTATCAGATGCAATGTCTCAACCATTATGCTTGAGATGGATCGGATACTAAGACCCGGTGGACGTGTATACATCCGTGATTCTCTTGAAATCATGGATGAACTTCAAGAGGTTGCCAAGGCAATAGGCTGGCACACGATGTTGCGAGACACAGAGGAGGGGCCTCATGCAAGTTATAGGGTGTTGGTTTGTGATAAGCACTTGCTACGTTCTTGAGGCTGAATGGGCTATATCACATGAGTTTTTGTTTGACCGTGCAAGTGGAAGTCTACATAACTGTCATTTGAGAAGTGCTGGAAAAGGCAAGTGAAAGTACTAGTTTACTATACTAGGCATTTGAGAAGTGCAGGAAGATGCAAGTGCACTTCCTTACTAACGTCAAGAGGTGGTCAGCATTTATTCATTGATGCTACTATTCATGAGATCCCTATAGCTGGATAGATCACGTGCATCATCTAACTTATTTGTAAAATTCAATTTATTTGTATATTTCTAAAGCTCCACGTGGCTCGAATATTTTTCCAGTTCCCATGAATGTAAGCACATTCACTGTTGATCTTCATAAATATATTTGCCGGTTTGTATCTCTCATTTCTTACAAAGTCCCTTTTGGAAGCAAGAACCTGGGATACAGATCAACCAAAAGAGTTGAATGAAATACTCGTATTTATAAACACAAAGTATAATTAAGTTGCTCTGCGTCAAGTGTACGTTATATTATTCAATGATGCTTGTTGCTTACTCCAGATGTATGAATATCGTTGAATTTTTTAACCGAAGATATTTGTGAGATTTTGATCTTTTAATATCTAAATATGCATCCTTAATGTTAATGTAATGCCATTGATTCTGATGAGGTTTTTCATTAACTATAAGTTATGTTACTTAGTTTTACTTGGGAGTAAATTAGAAGTGTATTAACAATGATGTGGTTCAATGGTCTATAAAATAAAATTTGCAAACCGCTGTACATTAAATGATAACTGTTTTTTCTTTTTCCTTTCTTTTTTTAGTTTTCAAATTTTTGTCTAACTTATTGATCTATTTTTTAAGTGATTTTGGAATGCTTTTCGATCTGAACACCCTTGTTTACCATATCCGCAATTGTTTGCAGTTTGCAAGCTGCAATCCAAGCAAAGGTTGTGAAAAAGTCTATACCGAACTAAATCAATTCAGATAATAAAAATCAGTATGATTAACTAAACCAATTTTAGAAAATGCGGATTCGGTTTAGATTTTTAAAAAATTCGATCCATAAACAGCCATTAAGAACTGAGCCTCTCTCGTAGGCATAAATAGTACTGGTCTTCTTATCACAAAACTAGTTTCACAATTATTAGTGCTAGACATCAAAATTATATTCGGACCTGCGAGTATTCTTCTGTTTCGACTCGATTTTGATAAAAAAAAAAATGTTTCAATTGGGTTCAAATTTTCTTTAAATCGTAACAAATTTTGAGTTAATTGGATTTGAGTTTACTGGTTATTTGGTTCCGATGAAATTTTTTTCTAGTAGTGAAAATAGACATAATTTTCATGCGTGTTTGATTCGCATTAAATAAGCGATGAAATACATCCGGCTGAAATGAATAGAAAAAGCAAACTATTAGATCATAATTTCAAATTTTATAATAATTAATTAAAGGATAAAATAAAAAATAAATTGTTGACACTAAAATGATATATTTTTATTACTTTTTATTATTATTATGTTTTTATTAGTATATATATATTATAATTATTTATAAATATCATGTTATTAAATGTTACGTTATTTAAATGGTAATAAATTTTGAGTTAATGTTAAGATTTAACTGTTAATGAATATTCAATTAATAGTAAAATCAAAATTCCTTATGTTTAAACTTAGGAGACTAAATTTGTAGATTGACAAATATAAGAAATTAAAGATGTAATTTATTCTATTTTTAATTTTTTATTAATGTTTCAAAAACATTTTTATATTACAATATAAATTATTTATTATAAATTTTAATTATAATATAATTTATATATTTTAAATTATATAAAATAAATATTTATCTTATACATTACACAAATTAAAATAATAGGTTTTGATATGAATTTTATATTTATATTTATATTTTTTAATAAACAATATGTTGAAAAAAATCAATAAAGAAAAGAAAATTTAGATATAATGTTATATATAATTTACTTTGATACTATGTATTGATATTTAATAAAATTCTTTATTATATTATTGTAACGATCCGTCATGATCACTACATTTCGTGAAATCATCAACTAACCGCAAAATTACTCATATGCTTGAGATTTTAGAATTTAGGTATACAATATGTGTACAATCATCTAGTATAAAATGATATAAAATTCTAAGTGTCGGTCAAACACTACTATACAAACTATCAAAAGTAGTCCAAAACTACACCATCAAAATGCCCTACAACATCTTATAGAAGCTTGCTCTGGCTAATTCTACCTTGCTCCCATGAAATCATGATCTTCGCAATCCAAACCACTTGGAAAATACATAAGGGTAAGTTAAATTTTAAAAATATATTAGTATAAGAAGGAACATCTATACTACTATTTAACATGTAAACCAACCAAAAATACACCTCATGGTTTACAACATTCACCAAACAACCCAATACCAATATGTTTGAGAGCTACACACCAAGACATATCATACAATAATATATTCATCCAATACATATGAACACACCAATCAACAACACATCATATGCATATATCTCAACTAATGAATCGTTATGCATTTACCTACGAAGATTTTCTAACATACTAAAGTAGTCTAAGTGACTTGACCTTACAAACCAACTCAATCATTTTCACACCAAAATGCACCTGCTCGATCATAACTAAAATGAGGGTACCAATTCGTAATTTCTGATTTTTCAAGTGTCACCACTTATACTAGAAAAGTCTAATTTCACTGTTAAGAATAATATAGCTGGGTATATGCATCTCACAACCTTGACATGCATTACCAAGTCACATGTGGAGTTAACCCACCAACTATCTACAAGGAACCACACAATCTTTTTCAATGACTAGTTAAGGGTTGTAGCCCTGAACTTTATAATTTACTCCATATTGATTAAGGACTTAAAGGAGACTCAACAAAATTCACTCTAAGAATTTCACATATACTTAATGAGGGTTTTTAATAATTGGCCTCCTAGAGCACCAAAACAAAAGTCTCTATATGAGATCTTCAACTTTCTAAACAACACCCTTTCCACTAATCTTAAGTCAATCAATATGTTTTAATGTCTGCAACATTCTTAACATCAACACCTTAACACACATCTTCTATATAGATTACCTTAGGTTAATGCATATAGAGATCGAACCACACAATTATGTATAACATACAAATGCTTAACACCTCAACCAATAATAGCATATCAATACTCAACTATTCATTCAAAAATAACATATAAATGCTTATTCAACACTTATCAATCATACAAAACATATGAATACTCATCACCATATTTATCATCATTTAGCCATAAAACAATTATAACAATAAGTGTTTATCACACAATTCATTCATCAAGTAACCAACTAACTCAACTACAAAAGAAAATATTTTACCATGTTTCCACGTTGAGCGTGGCATATCGCGCTAAGCATTAGGCTTTTAGAGAGTTGTATAAGAAAATTTTCAAGTTCCCACGTTGAGAGTGAAATCTCATGCTTAGTATCAACCTTCCAAAGGCACACCTAGTTCTCACGTTAAACGTGAAACTCACACTTAGACTTACTCTTCTACTAACACTTTCCAATTCTTACACTAAGCGTGAAAATCCATGCTTAGCCTCATAAACTCAAAAACTCCAACATAGTTGAAGAACACCCCAAATGGGGATGTCAAAAAAATTTGTACCCACAGGTATCCATGGATAAAATCTGCAATGAGTAAAAAATGGATATTGTAAACGAGTACTTGTAGGTTATGGGTACGAATATTTTTTATACTTGCATGTTAATAGGGAGGGTACGAGTATCATAGTATATGTACCCGCGAATACCCATACTCGCTAATATTCAAATTGTCTGGACTTGTATGAATTCATTTTTTTTAATTTGTATAAATTTGATTTTATTTGGACTTTGTTTGGACTTATAATAGTTAAATATTGTATTTTATTATCTTTTATTTGAATTTTATTTTTATAATCTTCCAACTTTTTTTATGCAAATTTTATTTAAATTTTAGTTATAAACTTCAAACTTTTTTTTATGCATATTTTTTCTTAGAAAAAAAATTGTTACAAATAACTAAGATGTATGTTTAAGATATTTTGTTGAATATTTTCAAGATATATTCTTTAGCAAATATTCACGAGTGCTAGTGAATATCTACAGGTATTGAATAAATATGCGAATATCCGCTTAATAGATACCTGTACGGATATGAGAATGGGTATGTGACAGATATTTATTCGATTGGTAGATTAGTAGGAAGCTACTACTTGTATCTGTCCCGCCCTGTTGATATCCCTAACCCTAATAACTATGAACACCACCCAAATCTCCAAGATTCTCTCATTTTATGCAACAATCCATGCATGCAACCTCAAGACCTTCTAATTAGCATAACATGCAACTCAAAAATCAAAGAAGAATTGACATGCATCAACAACATATCAAGTGGGTTATTAATTCTCAATGTTTCGCCAATAACAACAAAAATTCCCAATTTGTTTAATCTTCCACCTCAGAACCTCTTAGCCACAAAAATGAAAGTTTTCAAGCAAATGTACTACATTGATCAATTAGAATTTGGGTTCTAGCTTCCTTTACCTCAATTTTGAACTTTTGAAGTAAGGAGAGAGAGGAAAAAGAAGAAATGAGATTTCGAGTTTCCGACATCCACTAGCTTTGCACCTCACCACAAATTGTGATCTTTCAAGGTTTTAAGCTCTCCCACCAAGTTTCTAGCAACAAACTCCCTTCTTAAAGAGCTTGAACGCTAAAGAAGAGAAGGAGAAACTTCAATTGATTTTTCCCAGAAAATCGAATAAGATAATAAGAAGCTCAACATTACAATTATGAAAAAATTTATGATAATACTAATGAAAAGGAAGACATTCCATGCTTCTGTGGTATTTTACTTTGATAATGAGGATAGTATATTAATGAGGATAAAAGATAAAAAATTCATACAAAAATATCTTTTTATCTATTATTAATTATTATCATACGATTTATGTTGTTTTTATAAAGATTAAAATTATAAAAAATAATATCAAAATAAAATAAATCACCTTTATATAACTTTTATGAAAATCACATTCTTCTATTATGTGATCTACATCTATTTAAACATGTTATTTCTCATATATATATATATATATATATATTTTTTTTTTAAAATTGATTTTCCCGCAAAAGCAAAGCGAAGCCTGGACCCGTTACTTTTTTCCCGCTTCTAAATCCAACGAATGAAAAAGATGTCAAACTTAAAAAAAAAATAAAAAAAATAATAAAAGGAGATGTCAACCTAAAAAGCCTCTTTTAATAAAAAAATATTATATAAAACATTAATATTTATAAATTTAAACGATTTCCTTTTTTCTTTTCCTAACATGTAAGATGAAATACTGTAAAAAAAAAATATAAAATGAATTCATTCTAGATATATTAAACATGAAGCTTCATCTAAAGGTAAATTTGAAACAAAATTCATTAATTATAGAATAATCTTTTCCATACTCAATAAAGTTCTAGAATATTTGATAAAAATAAAACAAATTAAAGTAATAGTCACCTTACATCTTTTTTACTTTTCTTAAGAAAATTATAAAAACGAGAAAATTATTTTTTAACAAAGTTTTAAATTACCCATCAAAATTATACGAGTCAAGTGTTGAAACTGGAAACATTTTCTTGTAATTTTTGACTTATATATATATATATATATATATATATATATTTATTTATCTTTTTTACGAGTCATAATAATTTGCCACCACCACTATTCGCAGATTCAGTGTCTTAAAAAGTTGCATTGCGTAATAATTCGAAGTAGAAAACCCCTCCCCCTAAGTTTGCTCACTGCTACTTCATACTCACTCCCAAGTTTCCTCCTTTCTCGCAATAAACAATGCCAACGTAAGTTTCACCAATCACCCTTCATTTCTTTTCCCCCGAAATCTGAATGGTTTCTCTTGATTGTGCGTTTTCTATTCATCTTTGTCCTTTTCTTCATTACTCGCTGTTTTCTTTCTCTCTTGTATTATCTGGGTATTCATTAGTTGCTCTTTACTCTTGCTGCTTTCTATTGGGTCATGGGTATGGGTAGTTGAATTGGATAACGGAAATATGTGAATGAATTTTGTGAAATTTCTGTTCATGCTTTTCTGCTTTGAGTTAGATGGTGCTTCTGTGGCGCTGTGTTTGTCAATTATTAATTGTTTACGGATAGCTAGTTGTGCTTGTTTCTGATGCTTGAGCTAGGGCACTGAAATTGACCAAAACCTTCTTGTGTTAGTATCTTGATGTGGGTAACCAACAAGATTTGATCTTGAAGGAGATTTATGGATTATCAATTAAGAAGAATTGTTTTAATTTCTCATCAGCCTTTGTAAGTTGAAGGCTTAGTATGTTACTATGTTTGCATTGTAGGTAATTGCTATCACCTGTGCAACAAGATTTTGAAGGAGTTTATGGATTATCAATTAAGAAAAATAGTTTTAATTTCTCACAGCCTTTGTAAGTTGAAGGCCTTGGATGTTACATGTTTGCATTGTATGCAATTGCTGTCACCCATGCATCAAGATTTGATTTTGAAGGAAATTTATGGATTATCAATTAAGACAAATGGTTTTAATTTATCATCAGCCTCTGTAAGTTGAAGGCCTAGTATGCTATTGTGTCTGTAGTGTGTGTAATTGTTATAATCTATGAAGTCTGGATACTCTATAAATGCAAAATTATTTGTGTTCAACACATGTTTGACATTGATATCATTCCAAACGCCTTCATGTATATGTATCCAAAAGGTATCCATTAATTTTTCTTTTTCAAAATTACCCAATACGGATAATATATGTTTGAACAACTCAGGATATGGCTCCATTTCGAATAGATATGTACTATAATTTTTTATTGTCAAGTTTCCTTTACTGGTGTACAATGTGGCATTGAGGTTAGAACCTAAGACCTCATGTAAATTACCCAAACCCCTAACTGTAGGGCCAACCCTTGTGGTTGTGGCTTATTGTTAAATTTCTTTTAGTCTTTTATATTCCAAGTTGTTCTAAATTGTATGTGCTGTATAAAGGAGTGCCAATCCTAGTGCTAGGGTTTGCAAATGGCAAGCTGCTGATACCAAATGTGTCTCCCTTCTCGTTCGCTCTTCCATTCTAGCCATGCACCTTAGCCATCCAACCACTGTGCTTTGCCTCCAAACCTGTAAATAATCTCCTACTAGCAGCCATCTGCATTCTGCAGTTGCTGGTGGTTCTAGCTCCTCTTTTGGTTCTTGCTCCTTCCTAGATGCTGGGCCGATGTTCTCCAAGTTGCTATTGGTTCTACTACTCTTCTAGTTTCTAGTCTTTCAATTTGTGCAGAGTTGGTTCTAGTTAACATATATTAGCTGTGTTCTAGATTCTTAAAAAAAATTCTGTATCCCTGTATTTCTTTTGTATTATGTATACGGGCTTCTTAGGTTATCACTTTACATAAACTTGCACTAGGACACATGCTGCTGCTCCAAGGCTTTCAATACACTCATATTAAAGTTTGTGATCCTCTTGTCTTCATCTTTTCCATTTAGTGTTGAAAACCATTATTGCAGCTGCCTCATCGATACATCTACTACAACTCAGAGTTATTGAGGGGCAAAAATGAGTACATATAGTATGTTGGATATTGTTTTAAATCATATACTTCGGGTGGTCACACCATTACAAGAAGATTGGGAGATACGGTTTGCAATTATTAATGATTTAAGAAGCATTGTTGAATCCGTGGAAAGCCTGAGAGGTGAATTTTCCAACTCTGCTCTCTGTTCTTTATTAAATTACAATTTCTGTGGATTAAAATATTTGCTGGCTTGAAGTGGATATCACTTGACGTAAAGTAGCTTATTCTAGACCCATCTGAAGGTGTAATTTCTGTATATGGTGAATGAAGAAGATCCAAGAAGGGACTAATTACATTCTTCTAAATGTTTTGATTAGCATTAGTTCTTTCTATGCATATAATTGAATAGTTCTTTTTATATTTATGATTGAATTGAATGTATGAGATTCATGAATTACTTTACTGTATCTCTCTGCTATGAACCAGTAACAGGGTAGACCTGTTTCAGTATGTTGTAGGGAATGCCGGAGGCCTCCCAATTTTTTGAACTTCTCTATTTTTCTTTTTGTATATATAATGTTCCCCATCCAAAAGTTTGGTTTTTTCTTAACTGCCCTTAATCAAATTATGTTTATCCCTCCAGTAATTTAATTCCATCTCTTTCTTGATTACTGTCAAAATAATGTGTGCTACATCTAACTGAAAGCTTTTTAAATTTAAATGGATTGAGTTATTCATATTTTATTCATTTATTAGTTAAAAATAAACGATTTTTCTGTGGGAGAAGCATATCATTCAATCTATGTTACAGTTTTATCACCATTACAATTACATGGTTTTACTAAGTTGTTTTCTTTTTCTCTCCTCATCCAAAGAAGGGAAAAATAAAAGATGCCAACATGTGGGGGCAAGCTTCACACTAGATTGAAGGTTTCTCCATTAAATAATGGAAATTAAGATGAATTTTATTATCCTTTACATATGACAACTTATCCAGCATCTGATTTTTGTTGTTTACCTTGAGTACCACAAATGTAGAAATGATGGATTCAAGTGACTTATTGTTAGGATATAGAATAAAGGGAATTAGAGTAGTTATTAATTAGAAGGATATCATTTGCCTGGCCCATCATATCCATAAATAGGAGGTTACTTGGTAGAATAGGAAGCATTCATATCACAAAATTTTCTGCTCTATATGAAGTCATGTTATAAGATGATTCAGGCTCCCATATCTTTTATATAAATTTTTAATTCATTCGGTTATGAAATTTAAGTATTTAAAGTTGTACTTAATTTATGGAACAGGAGCAACTGTTGAGCCATTTGGGTCATTTGTATCTAGTCTCTTCACACGATGGGGTGACTTGGATATTTCAATTGAGCTATCAAATGGTTTGCATATTTCATGTGCTGGGAAAAAGCAAAAACAGACTTTATTGGGGGATCTTTTAAAAGCTTTGAGAATGAGAGGTAACATTCTTATACTTGAATGCCACTTGGAAGTTAGTATAGAGCTGTTTATTTGTTAACCGTTAACCATGTAGCAAATTTGATTTGATTTGCTTCCAATTTGCACTTTTTTTTTTAATCTTCATCTTCTCATAGTTCAAGCATTAGGATGTAAAGCTTAGTTGTTATTTTTTTTCCTATTGAAGTGAAATGCAATTAGGTATTATAAATATCGATGCAAGAAATTGTAGTGATGGGTGAAAACCACTATATATTCATCAGATGATTATTAATGTGTACTCATCTAAATTTACTGATACAACTAGGATATGTATCAACTGAAAATATATTATTTGGTTATTTTTGTAGAGCATTTATTAGTGGCTTGCACTTTGAAATTGTTATTTGCATGTAACTTTACAAATACAATTAAAATAGGTAGGATAATGTAGTTACATGACTACTGTTGAAGATTAGGATATGGTGAGATGATTTCCCTTCAGAATTTTGACTGGATTGGTGTCACATTTTCATATATGCCTTTTGTGTTGACTTGCACTAAATCTGAACAAAAATTATGCGTCAGTAACTAGAGAAAATACAGGGTGAATCATCTTATATGGTTGAGTTTCTCTATAATGTTTGTTTTAAATTTATGATTGAGTCATGCTGGATAGCATGATAATTTCACATACGTTATAAAACCATGTGATTACTCATTGAACCAATCAATCCAATCATGATTTTTATTTTTTTATCATTCCATGTCAGTTTTGATACTGGTTATCAGAGGTTTATTTTATTTGACTAAATTTTTCCTTTATATTTTAGAGTTACATTAGTAGTGCTTATTAAGCTTATCATTGCTTTCTCATACTTTCAAGTCTTACAACCATAATTAGCATAGGGAAATTTATGAAATTTGTTAGTTTCTTTAGATGTTCTTAATACATTCTGTAATAACGTTAATTTGCAGGTGGGTGGAGCAACTTGCAGTTTATCTCCAATGCACGAGTTCCCATTTTAAAATTTAAAAGCAACCAGCAGGGTGTATCTTGTGACATTTCAATTAATAACCTGCCCGGTCAAATGAAATCTAAGATTTTGCTTTGGATCAGCAAGATAGATGGCCGCTTTCATGATCTGGTTTTACTGGTACATTCTTGAGGCCAAAGAAAGGTTGCTGTGTTTGGAATTTCAAATTTCATCTGTTTGATTCATTCTTCCTGGTTTGTGTAGGTCAAGGAATGGGCCAAAGCACATAAAATCAATAGCTCTAAAACTGGAACTTTCAACTCCTATTCCCTCAGTTTACTTGTTTTATTTCATTTTCAGGTATTATTTCTCCTTTTTCATAATTCTTTATTGTGGTGATATTTTTCCCTCCTTTTTTGGGCTTTTGGGGGTGGGGATACTTTCAACTTTCTAGGAATTATTTTATTGATTTTGCTTATATGTTATCTCATCCATCTTATTTATTTTGGATTGGGTTTTGCTAAGTTGTCATATGCATTCTGCTCTTTTTCATCTTTCTACATAAACTCCAACTTCAAGCATTTAAGGGTGTCTTCGATCTCCCTGTCTTGAAAAATTTACCAAGTGCTCATTTCAGTTTGTTTCTGGCTTTCATAAATAATTACAAAGAAGCCACCTTATTTTTATCTATTTTTACTTCATTAATTGATTTCTATAGGAAATGATACTTTGCCCTTGTCATTTATTATGCAAATATTTGAAAAGAGGAAACTTAGTGAAAGTAAGGTGACATTTTTGTAATTATATTTTAATACATATAATAGTAACAAAAAATGTTCTCTCAAACCAAAAAAACCCTACAATAATGGGCACCTCTACTATAATATGTTTTAACTGTCAGTGGTCTTTTCTCTGAAGATAATAAAAGGATCTTCGTCCTCTGATGCATTCAATGTTTCCCTTCATTTTCAGACATGTGTTCCTGCAATTTTACCACCACTTAAAGAAATATACCCTGGCAATATGGTTGATGATCTAAGAGGTACATTTTATCTCTAATTTTGAGCATGAAATGTCATTATTCTAGCATTTGAGATATTGAGGTGAGCTTTGTATAAACTGAACCTGTTCGTAGAAAGCTAAAATATTTTCTCTCGTGTATGTTCAGGTTGAGTGCATGCTTCCATGTAAAGAATTCTGAAAATTCCTGCAACTTATTTCAATGCCTAGACTTCAACACATTAATGCTCATGCTATTTCTTTTACTATGCACATTACTTTACACTTTCTGTTTAGTTTTCTTTTTTACATGTATTTGAAGAAATAATCCTCTTTATTAAAGGTGTGATCAATATGTTGATGGGATTAGTTTCAGTTTCAGTGGTCTTCAGATAATCTTTGCAAAAATGATAATGGATTGTAGGTTTGGGGCTGATAATGATAATGCAAAAATGATAATCTTTGTTCATTACTTTTTGTTCTCGGCCATCTTTTTTAATCTTTTAGGGCTTCAAAAAATGGGGTGGGGGAAACCCTTTAACTATCCTTTTCCCTTTGCTCTCAATTGAAAGGAACTGTTTTTATTTTAAATTATCAAGGGTTACAGCATGTGTACCCATATATACACACAAATGTAATTGCTATCTTTTATCTGTGGGAACCAAAGATGAAAGAATTTTTTTTTCCTATCCTAAATATCAGTTGTATTAACAACACTCTTCTTTAAGTTGTTGGACGAATATTAATCATTCCCAACTTACAATAAGTTTCTTAATCTTGTTGTAAGGGGCCCCTTTGTGAACACATATGCCAATTGGATCCCTACAGGAACATGTGTTGTGGCACTATAAGATCATTGTTCAATTTTCCTTCGATCAAGTGTATGTCAATCTCTTCGTGTTTTGTCCTGTCATGCTGGACTGGATTATGGGCAATACTAATAGCTAAAATGCTATCACAAAATAGCCTTATTGTAACGACCTATCGTGGTCACTACATTATGTGGAATCACTATTACTAGCATCTGAAGCTAAGTTACTAGAATGCACAAGATTAATGGAGGAAACATACCATACATATATATATATATATATATATATATATATATACACACATATATCATGAGTATATAAGTAAACAACCAAACTAATTTAAACAAAATATGTATACAATCATCCCAAAATAATCCTACATCCTTGTGTTGATCAAGCACACCTATACAAGGTACATTAGTAATATCGCCATCAAAAGGTCACAACACCTATTGCAGTAGCTCCTTAAGCCTATAGAAAATATGATTATTGCAATCCAAACTATCATGGAAAATAGAGAGGGTAAGTTAGAGTTCGAATACATGTATATATAAAAAACAAATTTATAATATACAACAAGCCATATATCATACATGAAAGCTAATTACATCCAAAGCAAACATGTACCTTACCCAATCATGTTCCAAAAAACATCAACAATGCACATTAACACACCTCAACATACATCATATGCAACACATCAACCAATGTATCATCACGCATTCACCTACGGGGATCTCCTAACAATATGAGCAATTTAAGTGATTTTCACCCTTCCAAACCAGCCAATCATCCTCACGCCTGAAGCGTCGGCTCGCTCACAACAAAATGGGATATCAATCCTAGGAAAGTCCGATTCTATCGTCAGGAGTAGTATAACTGGGTATAGGCTTACCACGACCTTGACATGCATTACCAAGTCACATATGAAATTTGTCCATTGATTATCTTCAAGGAACCACGCAACCTTTTCAAGTACTTGATTAAGGGTTATAACCCTCGATCTCCTACCTTACTCAATCACTAAGAATTTAGAGGAGACTCAACACACCTTAAAACCTACTCTAAGAGACACACCTTCTCAAGTAGGGTTTTTTAAATAGTGGCCTACCCGAGTACTACTACAAGATACCTCATGTGGGATCTCCAATTTTCAAAATAATTTTCTCTCCTCAAGTCCAAAGTTAGCCATCATGTTTTAATGCCACATCACATTCTCAACATCAACACCTCACCATGCATTTACTATATACATCACATCCAATCAATGCATATAGAGATTAATAGTATCAATCATATATTGTTGTGATTCAGGAATTGTGTGTATTGTTGTACACATACCAATCTTATTTATAGAGTGAATACAATAAATGATAGAGATACTAATCTCTAATATTATGGAAACTAATCTAATCATATCCCTAATTGATAGTGAGGATAATAGCCCATAATATATGTATCCACAATATCTGTAATATATTCACAATATCTGTAACACTCCCCCTCAAGCTGGAGCATATATATCATATGCACCAAGCTTGTTACAAATGTAATCAATCCGAGGTCCTTTAAGCGATTTTTGTGAACATATCTGCTAACTGGTCACCGGAGGCAGCAGTCAGAGGCGGCGATCGGAGGCAGCGACCGGAAGCGGCGATCGGAGGCGACGGCCACCTGAAGCGACGGTCGGAGTCAGCGACTGGAAGCGGTTGTAGGTGGCGACCGGAAGCGGCGGTCGGAGTTGGCGACCAGAAGCGGCGACCGGAAGTGGCGGTCGGAGTCGGCGATCGGAAGCGATGACTGGAGGCGGCGGTCGGAGTTGGCGATCGGAAGTGGTAGTCAGAGGTGGCAATCGGAAGCGACAGTTGGAGGCGGCGACAGGAAGCGACCAATGACGACGGTGTGACGACTCGAGTTGGCGGTTGGAGGCGACAACTGAAGGCAGCAACCAGAGGCGACGGTCGGCAGCGTGGCAACTGGCGGCACGACGACCGGAGGCGGCGGGCGGCGGGG